GGAAATTCTCTGAAATTAGTAAAATGTATCTTCCAAAAATGAGAAAAGTAGGAAAAAAGGAAAATTTCCTAGAATACGTTCCAGATCAATCACGTCCAGAAAAGACAAGAAAAAACATTGAGGAGGAAGACATGGAAGAAGAAAAAAACATTAATTCCCTGGATTGTACTACTATAAGTTTTTTACATTGTATTAATGCAATGAAATGGTTAATATAATCTTTTAATCTCTTTTGGAATGTACAGCATCACATCAAAACTAAGGATTTGAAGATAGGTGGCATTAATGGGTATATATTTACGCTATATGCTGTAACTTGTCTCTCAGTGTATTTAAGTGGTTTGACAAACCTAGTAATCTGTGTTTGCTAACTCAGATACCCCTATAGTTCTGATTTTTACTCTAACCTTAGCCTAGCCGCTTTATATCAAAAAGGCAAAACAATTTTAAAATGATTTCTTACCCTTACTGAATGATCTATCAAGGCATGTCAAATTTTACAATAGATGGTCACAATTTTATTTTTCAAAGCCTTGAAAAGAGAGCTACACAACCCCAGAGTAAGAAAATGGAGAAAATGTCCCTTGGCTTTTCACTCTAGCTTCCCTTTTTTCTTTGATGTTAAGTTCCAGGGAACAAATAATTTAAATTAAAAGATATATGAGTAGATTAATGGATTTGGTCGTTCCATTTTATATAACAAAAACTGATGCTAAGAATGAAAATGTTCAATGGCTAAGGGGTTTCTTAATTTTTATTATCTTGATAAAGATAAAACCAGCACACTGGATCACACTAATAGATTGCTTCTGTAACAGAAGTAATCAATTTCTGCTAAAGTCATTCTGTTAATTAAAAATGCATTCTTTTTATCCAGTTCATCCAAACTTTCTTAATGTTGCTGTTTTACCTGGCTCTAATTTTTGTATCTTTTACTTGGAAAACAGCAATTTCTATATTTTTTCATAAATAAAAACTTAGTATGCTAACTGGTTTTTTTCAAGACACAACATTTAACACATTCCCACCTTTGCCATGATAAACTGGTGATGGAACTTCCTCAATAATTTCTTAAGTGTTTTTTGTGCAACAACTGCTGAATTCAGAATGCTGCCTTTACATTTTGAAAGGCTTTTAGGTCCTCATGTTTTTAATACTCCTGTCATCTTGAGATGTCTTCATCTTTACCCAGTAACAAATGTATAGATACCTGGCGGGTATGAAACATGATTTAAAAATTCTAAAATGAAATCTGAATTCAATTCAGATGTATTCAAGCTATTACTACAATGATAATGTCTTGAATGTACAGTTGTGAACTCTGGCAAACACTTCACTCAGTTTTAAGAATATTGAATTAAACATTTTTTTGTGTGCAAGGAAGGAAACTTTTATGTAATGGTTAATGGCATTTTCAACTCATATTCTCTATGTTAGAAGCCATATTGGCTGGAAAGTTTCTACAGGCAATACAGAAGAGCATGGGATTCCAATGGTTCAGTCTTGTATCTTTCATACAACCATCCACATTAAAATACCTTACAGGTATTTGTGCATAACATGTCTAGTTGCTTTTCTAATATAATTTGACATATGTTACAAGGAAATTCTCTGAAATTAGTAAAATGTATCTTCCAAAAATAAATGTAAAATCTAGTTTTTATTGGAATTGAGTTTTTGCACTGTGCCCTTAGTCTACACCTGTTCATGGCCTTTTGGATACGGCTGCATTGTGACAGTAATAAAAGTTGGGAATTGCCATGGGGGCAGAATTTTCCTTTTGTGTGGCAAAGACAGCCCAGTTGCTGAACAAAGATGGGACTATGCCATTCTAAGAGTAGGAGGAAATTCAGCTCTGAAAATCAGTATGTCTTCAGTAATTGTGTCCTGAAGTTGAATTTCTGGTAAGTGTGTCTATACAGATTGTCAATACAATTTTGTTCAATTTTTGTTTCATTTCAAATGTTAGCAGATTTGCAGAGGTCACTAACTCCCTATTAGAGCTGAATAGTTCTGAACAGCTTTGAAAGAGGATATGGGGTGCCTTCTAAACAGGTCTTCTCTACATCCAGCCTTATCTAAT